TATTATTATTATTATAGAACATTTAATACTTCTCTCTACACACATATATAAAATCTTAGACATCTATGAAAATTATAAAATTCTCATGAATTTCTCCACTAAGGAGGGAATCCAACACAATCTTTTTCTTGCAAGAAATAGTACAACATATTCGTCAAACTCAATACTTTCTTCCTCACTACAACCATGAAAAGCCAACCCGTATGTCATTAAAGGTCTAAAACAATCCACATTTGTATTCAAATGAGTGTGGTATATGCTTCAACCAATACTTATATTTCTTGAGACACGTACGTTTCTTGAAAGACTTTGTCTTTTATTTTAACACTTAATCTAAAACTAACTTTAATTGGTATTTATTTTTGAAAAAAGGGGGCATTAATTATATTATAAGTAGTAGTAGTAGTAAATTTTTTTGCCTGAAGCGGGGATGCTTGCCCCCTTATGCCCCTCCCCAGCTCCTCCACTGTGTGAAGGTGTCCTAGAATAAATTAGATCTCTCTTAACCTATTCTACAAGCAATTGTAATTCTAGCGTGCGTTCTAGGTTACAAAAGATATCAGTTAAATTATTCAAACACAAATTAAACGACATTCATGAAATTAATCCATCAAGAATCTAGCCATACATCATGATTAATCCCTTCATCAACCCCAAATCCCTAATTAAACTACTCACAATTTATAATTGAAGAATCAACAAAATTGGGATGAATAGAAATAATTATCATTAATTAAAAAGATGAATAATGAAGTATATGGCCCAGGGACCCCCGACCCATAGACTCCTACTTCTCCTACACAGGTCCATCAAGCCCAATGAGCGCACAGAGCCCAAACATAGTGGCCCAAGTACGAAGAAGCCCACGGTGCACATATAGGTGCCTTCGGCCCTATAGCTGAGGGCTCCAAATTCCACAAGGCAGCTAGATTTGAGCATACAAAGCTACTGGGAGTAAAAGGCAGAAAACTGGAGCCTTTGGTTCCTAGGCACCCTCGGCACATGGGTGGCCTTCGGCCACACAGAGCCTTCGGCCACAGGATATGCCTTCTGCTACAGAACACTCAGTGAAGATTCCCTTTGGGGACAGACAACCACCGCATTCAATACGGCGTCACGTCCAACCACCGCATTTAATGCGGTGCACATACAAATGCCGGTGCCACCCCGATTGAGGTGACCCTCGACCGTTAGATTAGCGACACGCGTACGCGCTTAGCAATTTATGGATGCTATAAATAGCAGTCCCTTTCCCCTTGTAAATGATCCCAACTTCGCGAGTTCATTTAATACACTCGATTCTCTCTCTCTCTCTTACTTGCTTGCTCTGACTTCTCTCTAGTTATTCGCCGTAATAACCCCTCGGATAAGCTACTCCCCGGGTACACTATCCATCAATGAACTTACAAATAATCCCAGGGTCTTGGAGAAAATAGCGGAAAACGATGTTAAATTCGTCTCTAGACCTCTCCGTAATGTTCGTAACTCTTAAACAGGAGAAGAGAGACCTTATTTATAGAAAACAGATGAGTTTGGGTTGAACTGGTACTAAAACGGGGTCAAAATCCGCGTTTCAAGGCCGAAATCCGCGTTTTGGACGTACACACGATCGTGCATCCCCTGCCACGCACGATCGTGCGTGGCTGGCAGTAGCCTCCTTGCTTTCTCGCTTCGGACGCATGATCGTGCGTTCCCCTACGCACGGCGTGCGTCAAACTTCCTAATTTGACAAAACATCCTTCATGAAAGTTATAGATAATGACGTCCTCTATCCACCACAACTTGCTGAATTGGATTTTAATCATCCAATCAAGAGATATGAATAAAATGGCTGAAGGTGGCATTCTGAAATCGCAACAAAGATCATCTGATTTCATCGTCTATTTTCAACTTGCTCCTATCAGATTCTCGGAAGTCGGAATGGTGTCTTCATAGGATTTGTATCGCTTGAATTTGGCTTTCATATGAAACTTGAATCGTGTCCTTTGGATGCTTCTACAAAGAGATATGCTTGAACGATTGACAAAAGGTCATCTTGATCGTCGTTTTCCAGCTTCATTATCTTCTTTTGATCCCTTAGCCAATCCTAGAGCTCTTTTGCCATCAAATCTTCATCGTGAACCTCCTAGCGACCTCCAAATCTCTCAAATCAATCTCGAATGCTTCTCAACTCGTCCCGATTGCTCCTCAAGCGCCGGTGCCAGACTCTAAATTCTTGACTTTGACTCCAAACGACATAAAACTCGAACCAACGCCCGGTAAACATAACTTGAGCTAAAATTGAGACTTGTAACACCTTAAAGCTAGAAAAACCATCAAAAGCCAATCTCAACACGCATCAAATGCGTGTCAAAATACGGACTTATCAATACCATGTAAGAATAATGGAATGACTTACCAATATGGTAGCCCTATGTGCCATATATATATAATAAATAAATGTCCTAAATACTATAGGGAACCTAATAAATATGGAAACCCAATTAAAGTATTAATTACACTATTACAAGGAACTAGCAGTCTTTATATATCAATCATGATTCATGAACTAAGACATGTGGCGTCGCGGTACCCAAAACACATTAGTAGATTTATGAAGCCTCATACAATTCCCTTATAGATTCATATGGGGTATTTTTTTAAAACCCGGAAGGCAAACCACCAAAATCGGTGGAGCAAATGCCGAGGGACATTTGCCGATATATTATTAATTAAAATCAAAGAAAATACAAATAGAGAGGGGTACTAGGCCAAAACCTCTCCTGAAGAGGAGATTCATATGGGGTATTGTGGCACAATCTTTAGCATTCATTTTTTTAAGTGGAATGGTAAAAATTGTGCCACAATACCCCATATGACTCCTGTATGACACTAACTCTCTCGCTTACATTACCCCTTTATAGGAGGCCTTGAGTTCAAGATAGGAGGATAAATTATTTTTTCTCCTTATACCAAAGGATGACCTTCTAGTTTTTCGGAGCTTATTTTAGTAATAACTATTTAGTCTCGTAAACTTCATGTAAACTTTGAATTGTTAATGAAATAGTAGTGGTTCTTTTGGAAGTTTTGTTTGGAATAGAGACACGCTTAATCTGTTGTGCAGGGGCGGAGCTATGGCATTGAGACGATACAAATAATACTTTTAAAACATTTTTTACATAATTTTTTTTGCCTTTCAAACTAAGGCATTTTTTGAATTTGAGGTCGGCCAAGGTCTAAGTTGCCCTCCCCTAGATCCGCCCATGGTTATGTGCAAGTGTGCAACTCTTTTTGATCAAATGTACATACAAAAAGTTAGAAACATGAAGATCAAGTAGAATAACTCAACTTTTTAAATCTATCGTAAGTTTGGTGATATGTTCTTGAGATACATGAACTAACGTAACCTGACAACATCAGAAACCATGTTTATAAAAAAGAATGTTTAATCAATCATATACTAAAACAGTGCAATCTACCTACTCCAAGGAAGCTATAGATACAACAAAACACTACTAATTATGAATGCTACACTCTCCAAGTCTCACACACTTTTGTTGATTCTAATGGTTTTATAGATAGTCTCCAAAGCCTAACTCTAGTCCCTAGATAGTCTCTAGATGCGTTGTCCATGTAGGTATGATGGAATAATGGAAAGGTCATACTTTGATATTATTTCAGTTCCCGAACACTGAACTAGACCAGAATCAACTAGTTCTGGCCCATAACTTCCATTTGACTTCTAGAAGTGGAATCAGGGGGTCTATCCCTAGTGAAAAAGAGAGGCCAAAGGGACTTGGTGGCAATTTGGTATAAAACTCATGATCAAGGTGTTGTGTCTTCCGAGTAAGGACCTAGTATAAAAAAACATAGGAGTGCATCTTTGTTCCTCTAACTTTTTTTTAATGTACTTCTAACATGTGATATTCTCTTTGAGAGAATCATATTGATGCCATCAAACCACAAGATACATGACCTCTTATTTTAGGAGTAAAAAATGGAATTTTCCTTTTACCTTGAAGATTTAACCACAAGCTCAACCATTTCCCTTCTTCACCCTTCGATCTTCTTGTTTCCTTCACCATCAAAGCTAGAGAGAGAGAGAGAGCAACATAAAATCCGAAAGCATCAAACTTTAATGATATGCTGGCGACTGTATGTAATGAACTCTGGATATACAATCCACGATGTTAAACATAAACCATCATGGACTCAACGCTAATCTGTTATACAAACAAAGCACTATACTTCTCTAAGAATTGGTAGATGAGGGCCGCGAGAGCTTGTTTGTCCTTCTTCTTTCTACTCCATTGGAGACTAACCCTTTGATATTGATTCAATTAATATATATAGTCTCGTCTTGATGTTCCTAAAAACCTTTTTCAACCATCTCCCATGCATTTTGAGACCATAGTATGGCTTTCATGTGAATGTACTAACAAGAGTAGTTTTATTTGGTGAGGAGAGAGATTTGGAAGGGAACTAAGTTGTTAACATTCACATTCCTTGAAAGAGATGGTGGATCTTGTACCACTTAGGGGAGAAATGGGGGTTAAGTATCTTAGAATTGATTCTTGAGAGAACTCGTAACTCTCATTGATTTTGAGTTTTTTTTTTAACTTGGGTCACATCTCATAGATTTCATCATCTTGTATAATCTTCTATCTAGAAATACTCTGATCTATAGCTGTTTACAACATCTACTAGCTAATTAAAGAGTAATCTAGATCTTTCTCTACCTATTCTAACACTAATATGAGCTACCTACTTTGATTCTTTTTCATATAAGATCTAACCCAATAAGTTGACTTCCTATGAACCTAATAACTATTACGGGCTAAGCTAATATTTCTAAATTCTAACAATAGTTATGTCACATTTCTGAACTCTATCCAACCTTTTCACATTTTCCTCAATGTCCTAGCTTTTCATTCTTTGTCTTATTATTGATCCCTTCGTCTACTTTTGAAAGATACTAAGAAAACACGAGAAAAGTACTAACCATGCATATAGACTACTCATCCAATGAAAATGTAAAATGAAAAACTAACATGAAAGCAGTGGTTCATGATAATTACAGTATTGGACAAACTTCCAATAAAAGCATTAAAATGATTTTTTTCTACCTAGCTATGAAGTATATACTTTGATCAACCATCTCAAAGTGTGACCAACAATGAAAGATCATACGTAGTACGTACATTATTAATGCAAATCATTTAGTTTTCCAACAAATCTTGTTGATGTGCTTCTACTTTGCAATGCTCTTCCACTACTTGTGTTGAAAACAGGAAATGATTTTCCAGCGAGAAATGAATGAAACAGGACAAGTGACCTCTCAGGCTGTGAAAATGGAGCTTCATGACCAGCACCTCTTATTGTTGCAAAGGAAAGCAACTCTCCATACCTTTGTGTCCATCCACCAACCTGAATAAAAAACGCAGGCAATTAAGGGTAATATATGGGAAATACTAAACATATTCCAGTATGTTTCACACCTTGATGAACCAGGGCACTATGTTGGACTGAACCGGTACAAAGAATATTCTTGAAAAAAATGCACGAATTTTTTAAGCTAAAAACATAAACATTTTTTAAATTTACGGTTGGCCGGGGTCTAGGTTGGCCCCCTAGCCACGCCCCCTGCTTGCATGTTACTGTGCAAAGAAAAAGTTCAAAAATTAATTACTACGTAATCTACTAATAAAAATTTGATCTATCTAACCTACCTGTTCTCCCTCAAACCAAGGGCGGTATGGCATAGATGTGTTCAATCCAATAAACTTTGCCAATTTATAAACCAATTTCCGAGTTCCCGTAAATGGGATAACTGAATCTTGATCTCCACTGTTACATTAAATAAAAATTAAATCATATTATATTCATACACAGACATATGCAAGGTTGTCATCCCCTTGCAAATTTATAATCCGGAGAGTGAGTCAGTTGATGCACATAAATATGAGATGGTCCATAGATGGTCCCCTTCTAGAATAACCTCTTATTACAGAATTGTTAAAAATATACGTGTTTCTAAGGAGCATAAGGGAAAGTGCAAAAATAGGAATTCATGTTTTCATTTCCCTAAACAGGAGTAAAACAGTGATTGTGGAAAAACACGCCAAAATTTAGTGTTTACGGTTAGAGTTAGGTAGTGACTGCCAACGACGGTGATTGCTCTTCGGTGGCAGACTGGCAATGGTTAAATTATAAATTTCTTTCATTTTTGTCCAATCATATATTACTCTTATTCAAGGAATTTTTAACATTAACTTCTATTTTTGCATTTTAGGTGGTTTTGTGAAATTTTGCTATAAGTTTTGTGTTAGCAACTTAGCATCATCCTAGTTTACTATGGAATATAAATAAAGCATTACCTGTAAACCAATACGCGAACCCCAGACTTGACAAGGGAACCTAGAATGTTAATGGTAGGAACCTCCAAATTGCGCATGTCATAGATTAGGATACTGTTGAAAAAATAAAAGAATTCTTGTGTTAACTACAATTAGATCTGAAAGAAATTTTATTTTACTTTTTCAGTTATAAAACCAAATTGCTAGAATGATGAATTTGTAATCAATCAACCCTTACTCGCTGCACGTGGACCAACCATTCACTCCATGAACACGTGCATGTAAAGATTTTTGCACGTCTTTTCGACCAAAATACGCAATGGTTTCTTCCTCTATGCATACGTCTTTTTTCTGAAACAAAATCAATCAACAAATTAAATTTATGTGAAGGCTGAAAGTTGCATGCATACATTGATACATGCAGGTGTTTATTGCTACTTGGTACTAGGATGATGAAAATTTAAGGGACATTGCATGTGGAGTAATATGTTTGTAATACTCATCCCGTCCCGTAATTAAGTTTCAAGTTTGAATTCTTAGGGTTTTAGGCAAAATATTTTTTCCATGGACTTTTGAGCTAGTATACCCATCCTCAAACGTATGAAAGAGAAAAACTAATAATTTATGACATAACTTTCATAGGGGTAAAAGAATACATTACCATTCCAATATTTCCAAAAAGGAAGTGAGAATTTATTTATGAGATATCCCGAAAACTCGAAAGGAAAGAGAGAATTTACCTTAATTAGGTTGAATGCACTAATAGTAGAATGTGGCACTATGCTTGATGGTAATCAATATATATATGTATATATATATATATATATATATATATATATATATATATATATATATATATATATATATATATATATATATATATATATATATATATATATATATATATATATATATATATATATATAAGAGGAACTTTTTAAGAGCATACAAAGCGCCACATAATCCTGCCATGTCATTATATAAATTAATTATTTAGTTATTTTTATACCTTCTATTTTAATTAGCTAGATTCTATTTTAATGGCATATTAATATGGAAATAGAAATCCGTATAAATCTACCTTATACGTTTACAAATTGCATATTGCATATTGCATATTGCATATTGCATATCAGGATTGATATCACGATTGTATATTGCATATATTATATGTTTACTTTGCAAATAACTGACAAAAGTATATCACGATTGCATATTACATATATTATATGTTTACAAATTCATACTTTTATTTTTAATAGAATTTTTTTAATTGTATTGATTTCAATTCCAGATTAAATCAAATCAGATCAAACTTTAATAATAATAATAATAATAATAATAATAATAATAATAAGTCACATAAAATGCAAAACAAACATCTACCAGACCATATTAATTCTTACCAAATCAAATCCAAAAGTTTAATTCAATTAAAAATGTCCTTATTAATGAGAAAAATATAAGATCTCACAATTAAAATTATAAAATGTGTATTTCATACCAAGTTGAATGAGAAATACTAGAAAAGTATTTGTTAGATGTTCATAACAATTAAATTATTTTTTCAATGTAACGAAATATATAATGAGTAAAATGTAAAAAAAAAACTTCATTTTTTTACATTTTTGGTGTGACGAAATAATGAGTAAAATGTAACATCTTATTCTTAAAAGTTAAAAGTAGGTACTCAGTATTTCACATCAAGTTGAATGAGGAATAGTAGAAGGAAAAAACTTGAGGTGCATAATTAATAAAGTAATTTGGAGGACGTGAGATTATGAATTCTTTAAAATCGGGTTCATAACAATTATATTTACTTGAGATGCTTATGTAGAAGATCAATTTAACTATTTTTCAATATAATCTTTTCTTGGCTTCACAAATGGAATATATTTTACATATTTTTTTCATGATTCAGGAGATTTCATCCATTCAGCCCATTCAGCCAAAATTTAATCAATTTCATTAAAATAAGTTAATTTGAATTATTTTTAGTATTATCAAACGAGCTCTATATTAGACTAAGTTTATTTTTCTTTTAAATCATATTACATATGATCCGAAACAAATCAAATTTCAAATTAGCTAAATTACATACTGCCCGTGCATCGCACGGGCTTGAAAGCTAGTTGAAGGTATTATTGCATAATTCTAACGTATTAAGTGTATGTATGTTAGATAGTACATACCAATGTAGTGATCTTCTTTGATTGTGGGAAAATACAGACATCTTCGGTCACATCATAAACATCAATATAGTTTCCAATTTCAGCATTCACTTGATCATTTACTTGATGGCAATGAGGCGTAAGGTTTCCAGTATCATCAAATTGCCTTCGCATTATAGATGTGTTACAGACCTTATTATATTGAGAAGTCCATATGTATAATCTGATATTAATCCATGTGACCAGCAATACTCTCCCACGGCATTGAAATCTGTGTTGAACTCCAAAAGAGGGTTTCCAATCTGAAATTTATTCACATAACCACCTCTCACTCATTACATTATGAAACAATTACCACATTGATTTTTCAGCTGCAAAATATAAGCACTCACTGCTATTCCCTTAAGATTAATGTTTGCCTTTGATTGTATGATGAGCTGAGCAAGTTGTGGAACATAATGCCCTGCATATATGCAAGGTAGATGTAATCATGTAATAGATTAAGATATACTCCTTTTGTCTTAGTTAAAAGTTCTCATTTCTATTTTAGAAATTAACACTAATAAATGACAATTTAATACTTCGTATCACATATTAAAAATAGTACATCAATGACCCCAGTATATTATAATATTCATCACAACTATTTATAGAAAGTTCCCCCAATATTAACAATATAATTATAAGAATACACATGGATGCAGCTTGGAAGGAGTTGTGGCCCACCGGAAGTTGGTAAACATACCTAATTTAAGCAGGAATAAAACAACTAATGTTTCCTAGCTATCTACTACTCCGTATGAAGGGAATTTAGATGTAGCAATTATTGCATTTCGTCTCTATGCCAAGTGGGATTTCAACACAAGACAATTGATTTACTAGACTCTAAGACTCGCTAGTATATTCGGCAATAGAGGGTCCACTTCCGACCTTCATATTAACAAAGTGCCTCATTAGTAAAACCTTGTTCTGAGCGGTCTTGGCCAAGTACATGACCTCCAACGTCTTCAAGAGATCTAGACATAATCATTAGTTTCTTGAGGAACATGGTACGGTGGAAGACATTGTGGTCTATATAGAAGGCTAGATACCTTAGCTACTGTTTTCAAGTGTTTGTTGTGTAAAACTCTTTTGCATGACCACATATCGCGAAACAATTTTTTTGTATTAAATTATAATTTTCAATTCCGAGTAGCTTTCCAATAAACCAGTCCCTACATAGTTGACTTTTTGGCTCCGCCACTTCTTTCCATTATATTTCTCTTAAAAATAGGTAGAAGACAATTTACAAGCTCTATCCCCCCCTAAAAGCAACACCTTACAAATTTAATTTATCTAGGATTTACACAACTCTTCTTGGTTTTGCTATGATGGATTACTAAGCTAGAAAAGCTTGAGATGCTTTTGTATTTATAGGACCAAAATTAGGTGGGAAGAGACTAGGAGAAAAGTGTGATGAAACTTGAAAAATGTTTCAAGGGAGAATTTCACTTTGCACCCACGTTATGGGTGACATTAGACTTTGCAATCCGTTTTCAAAATCACTAATGTACTTCTTGAAAACTATGAAGAATTGAGGTGCAAAGTTAAATTATTTCATAGTAAATTGGGGTGCTACATTAATGATTTTAAAAATAGAGCGCAAAGTCAAATTTCACTCAAAATGGGGTGCAAAGTCAAATTCTACCAAATTCCAATGATGAGTGTGCGGGATTTAACTCCTAAGTGTGATGAAGCTTCTTTTCCATTCATAGGTTTTGAGGAAGTTTTTTGAATTGAATTCTTCATTTACTTTATAATTAAATACTACATATAACATACGAAGTATTCACTTATATTTACCTTCATTTTGACAAATGTTTACTACATTCAATTATTGAGTTAATCTAGCTATAAATTAGTACATGACAAAGTTATATGGGGACCTATATTCACTTTGTTGATTTACCCAACTTTCATCAAATCTATAAATGCAATTAGACTCAACAATGGACACATGAATTCTTAGTAGGAGGGGTGTTAGTGTAAAAAAATACATATTAATAGATATATTTAAAATTTGGAGTAATTATACCTAGTAGAAAAAAATTTGGGGAGGGTGAGCGGTCCTCATTAGCCCCCTTGTGTCCGCCGCAAATTAGACTGATCAGGTTTATTTAATTTAATTTCATGTTATCCATCTTAAATGTGCTTTCTGCCTATAAAATTTGAAGTAGCTAGGTTGGTTTCACCAGCTTACCTGCATAACTTTCTCCCGTAATGAAAAATTCTCGTCCCCGGTAGTTTTGGAACTTGTGGAACCATCTTTTCAGAAATATTAGATTGTCTCTTGCTGTCAACATGAGATGAAGGGTTAGACTTCATGAAGTAAAATTGGACATGTAAAAAAATTTGATAGCATTAATCTTCATAATTAATATTAAAAGCTCTGAAGTGTTAAAAATGTTATTTATATAGTATATAAACTGTTCCATTTTCATTAAAAACATGTTTCAATGATTTAATTTGAAATATAGGAATATTATTGTTCATTGTCATAAAACATATATTTCATGTTTCTATTTTCTGAACTACAAATATATGGTTCATATCATTTTAATTGTACTCAAACTTTAACTACACTTTTGCTTTAATTTTTGACCAATTTTTTTAATAATTGTAACAATAAAAAAACCAATTCAACATATTTGGGAGGAATGTAGTACAAATTCCCTCTGTCACAATTCTAGCTAGGTAGGTTTCTTAAATTATGGGTATATTTGACACATGATATATATAAGAGGTGTTTTCCTAAAATATTACTAATAAAAATGTGACTATAAGTTACTATTTGTAGGTTTTATAATCACTACTCCCTCCGTCCCAATTTGTTTTGCAAAGTCAACACTTTTTGGTCAACTAATAATAAAAGTCAACCCTCCTTATGGATAATTAATTCAATTTTTAATAATTAAATTTATATATTTAAAAACTACATTAAAATCTCTTCACAGTTGTAAACTCCAATTTAGAAAATAATTAAAAATTGACATTCTAATTAAGTGAACAAAACGAGACTGTTTGACTAAGAAAAGTCAAATTTGCAACTCTTTTTGGGACGGAGGTAGTATGATATAACATTTGAATGCAACTAGTCACTGAATTTATCAGAGTCACATTTTTGTCCATATACTATTATTTGGTTATATATTCCGAATTATTTGTAGATAATAACTATTCTTTGATAACATATATGAAGTAAATTAGATTAAAAAATATAACCTTCCTTATCCTGAAACTTAGAATGAAGTCCAATTGATCAAATAAAAAGAAGAGATATTACCCAAAATGGGACTAAAAAAGTTTGGAAATTCCAAAATAGGACTTCCATGTTTTTATTCCCAAAATAGGACTAATTACTGTCATGTTTTGACAGTACCAGACTTCAAACATGGCAGTATTTTCCAAAATTGGCAGTAATTAGTCCTATTTTGGGAATAAAAACATGACAGTCCTATTTTGGAATTTTCAAACTTTTTTAGTCCCATTTCGGGAACTTTCCCTAAAAAGAATATTATGTATGAAATTATTATAAATTACGGAGTAAAAAGTTAGATTAGTGACTCTGTCGAGAGTCAAATTCAATGGGATAATGCACCGAATTTAGCAATACAAACCCCTAATGATATACTATCATTTAGTCAATATCATTTATACATACTCCTTATAATACAGAACAAGTTAAAGATGGTCAATTATTTTGAAAAATGTTGCAAATTAAAACCTGTCATCTCATCATTCACGTAAGTATAGTAGGATTGATTGAGAGAATATGAGAACCCAACTCCTGCAGGGGATTCCAAATACAACATGTTTGCCTCTGCACAAATACAGCAAATACGTACCCAAGTAAGTCTGTAAGTTATCCAAAAAATTCAAGATTTTACATTTTTAACTAATGTTTGACAGAATATATTCTAAGACGAAAAAAAAAAACAAAAAACTGATACCAGATTGTCTCATCTTTCTATTTCAGTCCATCCTACTAAAATGGTCCCATAACAAATTTGGTAACATTGATGTGGTTCTGAATCATTCTTATTTTATCGATGATTTAATATCAATTATTAAATGAACTCACTTTTCTTAATAATCAGACCACCTCTTCATGTCGTTAGTGGGACAGAGGTAGTATAAGATAGTAAAAAAAACCTTTGTTCCAGTTGTGGGGATTTTTTATCAAGACATTCCCTCGAGGTCGGAAAGGGCCATGCTCCCCGAAAGCTCCAACTCCAACAGATGAGCACCCAGGACCTGCTTATTCATCAATCATCATTAGTACCAAATGATCTTACTGTTAAATCCTCTCAATCCGGCCAAGAATTAATTTAAGGGGTTTAGCCCCAAGACATTTAAAAAGCGCATCAAATTATCATGTGTTATCATTAATTCCCAACAAAAGAAAAATAAGTAGAATATTTGCATAATAATTTAGAGATCTTGAAAAATTGACTTGCATATATATACTCAACCATAATACTTCGTGTTAAGATGTGTGATTTCAAAATTACTGAGTTTGTTCTTGCTGGATTTTTTGAATTTGATTAATCATAACGCAAGGAGTTTGGCACATTTTTTATATCAAGGGAGCTAATATCAAGGGATTAACCCTAAACTCATCCGCACGGCAGCACTGATTCGGGATGCCGACGGAAGATACTATGGGCATACAACTCAGCTGGCACCTCATGATAATGTTACAATTGCAGCTTATGACTTGATCAGTTGGCTTATCCCTAGGCTCAAGGCTCACAAGCTTATCAATATTGTGATTGAAGTTGACAACAAGGATGTCTATGAAGGTATTACGGGAATCTCAATTCCACATTGGCAATATTGGCCGCGCATACGAAATATCAAGAAAAGGTTAACGACTCATAATTGGACAATCACGCACATACATCCGAAGATTAACAGAGCCTCGGAGTATTTAGCTTACCGAAATACTTTGGTAAAAACCAATAATCATCATTTTACTCACTTTGTTGGTATCCTTAAATTTGATGCAATTAGTTTCCCTTATGTACTTTAATTTTGAGTAGGCTTTGGTTTTGCCCTCCTACTCTTTGTATTCTCTTTTTTCTCAATAAATAGGTGGGGTGTTCCCTGGCCCCCACCCCATAAAACCCTATGGGGTTTTCTGGATCATTACCGGGTAAAAAAAATACAAAGAATATTTATTTTTTACATGAATTTCATTACCCTAATAATTTAAACAAAATTAAAAATTTGGTATGAGTTTCAGACGTTTTTTTAAGCTTCTCTCTAGGGCGCAATTCCACCGCTAGGGTTGTTTATCTGCATTCGTCTCTGACGAAGTGCGGCTGTCGTTAAGGCGGAGCTCCGATTTCGTTCCTAATTGTGAGCAGAGGTGGGTTTCGAACCTTTTCGGCTTGAAGCTTCGGTCGTTTTTCTATTGTAGACGGAACACAGAGCGATTACAAATTAAAGACAACAGGATAGAGATTTCTTTTGCACCTCGGACATGGATTTCAATGGCAATCTGCAAGAAGCAAATTGGAGAGAGAAAATTGGCGAGAACAAGGAGGATAGGGTTTAGACGAATTTCCCAGGGATCGAAATTCCCTTCTCCATTACTACAACTGATCGTCCGCCTCCAGAACTACCTCCGGGCGAAGATGCAATTTGGGTAAAGTTTCTATTTTTGTAATATTTTCCCTTGAGTAGTATTTGTTTTTATTTCAGTTCGAGTAGGTATGGTTGGAGTATTTTGATTTTTGATGAACTTTTGATAGGCAGTGCTTCTTTTTCGATCGTTTTAGGCTTATTCTTGCCGGTTTGTGTCTAGCGAGTCAGGTAGGTTGCTTTGTATGGGTGGTTGACTCTAAGTCTATTCCTAGGGTTCACGATCGGATCTGTAATAACTGCCTGGATTTTGTATTGCATGTCTGCTCTATTTTAATGAAAGCCGTTTTGACGATAAAAAAAAGAATTAAAAATTTGGTTGGACCGAGGCCTAGGTTGGCCCCTAGCTACGCCCCCGGCCCCAATAATTCACTATTTTAGCAGGTATGTTAGGTTGTTTTAATTGAACTGAAATTTGCTGGTCTAGTCTGATCTGGTTTGGTCTGGTAAATGATATATTTAATTTGATCTTTGTGTATTTTATATCTATGGAAGTTTGGTTTGGTTTGGAGATTGTGGTCTGTTGTTTAATTCTGGTCTGATCTGGTATATTTAAGTCTGGTACTATGGTCTGGTCTATTTGAATCTGGGCTGATCTGGTCTGGGATTGAAAACAGTACAAGTAAAAACATCCTTATTGTTAATCCCTCACAGATCGAGCAAAAATCATAATATAGATAATCATATAAAGTCTTGAGATACACCTCTTCTCGTCTTATTATGTCAACTCTTTAAGATAGAATCTCAAACCTATTTATTTAATCCTAATTATTTTTTTTTGGGAAAACTGTCAAATAAGTCCTCGTAAAAGTCAACTAAGTCTTTGTACTTCAAAGTAAGTCAATTAAGTCCATGAAGTGTTAAAAATTAACTAAATATGCTATTTGGCAGGTAATAACTAGCCGGTAACATGTGTTTCTTCTTTTTGTCTTTCTTTTTTATAATATCCACTCTACACCATCCATTGTCATTTGGAGACCCGATATGGCAGCATGGTGCTGTCGATGGTCTACCGCGTCGATGATTTGGCTTGCCGGAGAAGCGCAACAAGCATCGCCGTTGTCCCAAACATTAGTTCTGCACACTCACGCCTCGTCTGTAGCTTTTTTGCCAAGTCGCCGTCGAGAGAGGCTTTGTGAATATGCTTCATTGCTTCATGTTGGCCGCCATTCCCAAGCAAGGGAAAAAGTGGTCGAGCAGTTTGGGAGAAAGAAAGAGAAGAAATGAAAACAAAAAACATAAATTCTAGGGGTACACAAGTTGTACACAACTTGTACACAAAATGTCGATCACAGACAATTGGTACGTAATTGTCTGTGGGCATAGACAATAGTTGTCTGTGTACATAGACAACTCTTGTCTGTGTCCACAGACATTTACTTTCGTGTAAAAAGTACACTGACAGCCGCCTGACACCGACACCAGCTTGCAAATCAATCAATATATGTGCACTGCCTGTGTGCACAGACGAAATTTTCATGTTGCACAGACAATTATTTGTATGTGTGCATAGACAATATTTACCACACAGACAATAGTTGTGCGTAATACAGACAATAGTTGTCTGTGTGATCAACTTTAGTTGTCGGTGTGATCAATTTCAATTGTTTGGGTGAACAAAAAATATAATTGTCTATATATATCAAAATGAATGATGTAGTTGTATGTGTGATCAATTTACATGTAATTTGAAAAAATAGAAAAATAATAAAAACAAATGAAATAAGATGAATAAGCTGATTTTGTGCAAATAATGAAAAAAATTTGATATAAAAAAGTAGAGAAAAAGAAGATGAAAAAGTTGATACAAAAAACTAGAGAAAAAGAGGATGAAGAAGAGAAGATGATCTTTTTTTTGAGATATTCTAAGGGGTTGGATAAAGAGGAAAGAGAGAAGGGAGGGGGGAAAGAGAGAATGGAGAGAGAAGGGGAAGAGGTAAATGGTATTTTTTTGGGCCTTTTATGGGAGTGTTTGCAACTGTGCTTCTGCTTAAAAAAACACTTTTGGAGTGATTGAGAAAAAGTGATAACTAGTAAAAGTTGATAGTACTTGAGAAAAAAGTGATTTTGAAAGTAAAAGTTGGTAGTGTTTGGTAAAATAAGTGCTTTTTGTATAATTTTTTTTTTGATCGTAGTGCTTTTTGTATAATAGAAAAGGGAAAAACACTTTTCACACGCAAATCGAGAAAAAGTAAAAATTGGTAGTGTTTGGTAAATAAGTGTTTTTTAAAGTCAAAAGCTGACCATGTATACCTTAAGCATTTTTCAAAAAAAAAATTAACAATAAAAAAAGAGAAAACAGAAAACGGTAAAATGAATGCCACTTGGACATCGACATAGATAGCTAACCAGGTTTACCGGCTGGTGACCTATGAAATAGCTATATTGGTGATTTTTTGACACTTCAAGGACTTGATTGACTCATTTTAAAGTACGAGGTCTCGATTGATTTTTTCATAAAAGTATATGAACTTATTTGACAGTTTTTCCAAACTTTTTCTTTCACTCATTTTGACCCTCTATTATATAGACCTGTTATATGTCTATTTTACGCGCCACACAAATAATTCATTATGTTTTTCTAAAAAAATGCGATTTTTCTAACGAATTGCCCGTGTAGGTACACTGTACACAAACAATATTATTAGGTACATGTACAAAAACGTGTGTAGATGGCACGTACAAATTTATATGGTAAACAAATTTATATCCATTTACTTTACTACTATTGAATAATAATAAGAGAAAAGGTGCAAATAGGGTCATGTACTAACAAAAAAAGGTCAAATAAGCCCTTATTTAGGAGGCACTGTCCGGCCGTCGCCATTTGGAGTGGTTCCCGGTGGAATTTTTTGATGAAATTTTTTGAGCATCTTATTCATTAAGTCTAGTTTACTCATACCATATTTCAGCTAAAACTTCAATCGGGAAGGCATTCAAATGAATTTTTTGAGCATCTTTTTATAATATTGTTCTTAAAATATATAAATTGTGATTACCACTCCCATGTATGTGTCAATTTTGGCTAATACTGAAAATTTAATAAAAAAACACAATCACCTTAATATGTGATGTTAGACAACATTTTTAAATTCAAATGTTAGAACATTATGTATTTTGGCTATGTTGCTGATTTTTGGAACTTCTTTAATATTTTGGAACTTATATACATGAAATTATGGAGTATTGGACTTGTCACTTATGTTACATGTGCACCACTATTGTTATTTTGAAACTTACTAATGTACTATATTATTGATTATTGATTTTTGGAACTTTGTGAGTTTTTACTAATTTTAAGACATGTGAATAGAAACCGTAAAACCCGGACCGGACCGACCCGTTTCAAACGGGCCGGGTAAGGTATGGTTCCTATTTTGAAAGTTGCAATGCCCGGACCGAACCGGACCGTACAATGGAACCAACGGTTCCATTTTATTTTGCATTACCCGCCCCGACCCAACCCGTGCCCAGCTCTACTGAAAACAGTGTATAATACGGTAAAACTTAATTCTTAATAAAAATGCATTTTAGGTATTCATATGAAAAAATTTATTCACTAAATATGCGTGAAATTCAATGGAGAAAAGCTATTAATAGGCACGAGAAAAACTCAATTCTCAATGGAGTAAGATTGATCCCAGTTTACCTCAGGCCCCCAAAATCCCCCTGGCGCCCCCCTGAGGTAAAAAAAGGGAGTATTGGACATCCTCATTGGTAGGATTATTATGAGATTAAATTGGTGACATGACATTTTGTTAGAGAATTATCATTGAGTGACATAGATTGTTTAATGGGATTATTTGCTACAATAATCTGGGATCAAAATATGAATCCGGATTATTTTAAGATTATTTGAAAAAGTATATGTAATAGAGATTAATGCAAGACATAGAAAAAACAGATTATTTGAAGATGATGATTGAGAGACATAAACGAATATTGAGATTATTTTAAAATTAATTACATAACAATAGTTAAGTGTTAAGAATCATAGAAAATATTGATGATGATTGAGAGACATAAACGAATTTTGAGATTATTTTAAAATTAATTACATAACAATTGTTAAATGGTAAGAATCATAGAAAAAATTGATTATTCTCGATCATGGATGGAGATGCTGTTAAGTATGCATGTGTGTGATTTCGGCCTTACCACCATTTAGCCAGAGAACAAGTGGCTTAGAATCTGGCTGAGTTTCGGCCTCGACAAAGTAGTAGAAAAGAGCCCTATGCTGGTCAACTTTAACGTAGCCGGAGTATTGCCGGAAAGTGACGTTAGCTGGTTGCCCCGGCAAGCTGCTGATCTGATCGCCATGGGAGGACTCCACTCTTGTAAAGGACGTGTATAAAGTTGCTGTGAATATTATGGCTATACATGACCACCAAGCTGCCATATTCTTTGATGCTTGAGGATGATTAAGTATAGTATGATCCACTATTATTAAGGAAGATTAATATATAGAATCACTAGTTTGCCATCATGAGATGTATTTGGACCAATTATTGAGTGCGTTTGTATATACGTAGTAATATGTGACCAACTTTCTTTTTTTATCTGTTAAAAAAACTACTCCGTATCATTTTCATCTAATGTTATTTCTCTTTCCACTACATGCACAACTATACAATTTTTATTTTATTATTCTACATGTAGGTCAACTTGATTTTATGAGATGGAGAGAGCTAACTATATGTCATTGGTCGTTAAGATCTAATTGGTCAAGAAGAAAAGAAAAAGCATCTTTGTCTATTCTACAAAGTCATAACATAGGGAGAAATATATAAGAGCCTCGAAGGAATTAAATAAGTATAGCACGTTACAAGAACTACTGATTATAAGCACGTTATAGTATTTGGTAATTTATGTATACATTTTCACCACACAGTCGTTATCATTATTTGGAATGGAGGTGTGCCTCCCACTTGTATAATCACATTATTAGCACCAATCAAGTACCTCGTAGAAATTATGCTTCCGATCCTAAGGATTGTGTTTTTTACTTTTTGAGTAAAAGACAACTTCCACTAATCGATCATGCAACTTCCCTTATGTGCGTATTGAGCATGAAATACTTATATACGAAGTACGTATTATATAACTAAAATAAAAATTGTCTACATAAATGTGACTAGTGCTAGAATAGTAATGAAATGTAACTAGATTCAATTTTTAAATTTAAGTTATCATGACACCACATTGTAGTAACTATTAATCATATTTATGTAAATAAGTTTTATTTAAGTAATATTTTCATAAAACACTTGCAATACATTGCAATAACAAGTTAACGCATTAAGGATACTATACAATGAGGAGGAAAATGAAACCAATCTTGGCGACCAGACATAGAAACGACCACCCGAGCTATATCATGAGCGGCACGGTTCACAGATCGCCTAACAAAAGCAAAAGAAATGCTATTAAAATCACGAATTGAAACTTTAATGTCTTCAATAACTAGGCCAAATTGAGAGCAGCCGCGCGCGCCCCCCATTTGAATTGCAGAACTAACTAGCAACGCATCCGACTCAATATCGATATTATCCCATTGCAAGCCTTTCAGCCAACTCAGGGCCTCCCGAATTCCAAGTGCTTCAGCCATCCTGCTGCCACAAATATCCCCGAGGAATCCCGGATAACCCAACCCAGCCCTCGTTTACCATCAGCCCCGAGCTGCACCCCTTTGGAATTGAGCCTGCTGCCACCCCTGAAGGAAAGCTCTAGACAGAGCTGCAACCTTGTCCATGTCAACATTCTCATTGTGCCACACTTTCCTGTTCCGAAATTGCCAAACACTCCAGCAAAACATGATCATCTCACAACTTTGCTCTTCATTTTTAGATGAGAAAAAATTCCTAACCCACTCTAAAAATGCCATATGTCTGCTGCCAACTCCAAGCCACCCCTTCTGCTCCCAGAAACTCCTTGCTAATGAGCATTGTAGGAATAAGTGATTGCTAGACTCCGCTCCATCTAAACACAACACACACTTGTCTGGAACATCCACCCTTCTTCCTCGCAAACGGTCCGTAGTCGGTAACTTTACGGAGCAAACCTGCCAGAAGAAATGCTTGACTTTTGGGGGAATAAAAAAGTTCCACATTTTAGTCCACCCCTTCCAACCTACTTGTTCGACTTCACCCCACAAGTATCTATAACAACTCTTGAGGGACATCTCTGTAACTAAGGGCGATACTAGCTACCAGACTCCTATCCCTCGAGTTGAAAATGTCCTTTACAACGTAGTCGTCCCACCTGCGCACTCCAATCTCCATTAAATTCTCTACACGACACAATTCGAGGCCCCCCAGAGGGGTTGTTGTAACTCTCGGGTTAACTGGATCAGGCCGGGAGCCAAGGGTCAGACCAAACTTGTACTGATTTCCCATCTCCTATCCGCCACCGGTAACCAGCCAATATTGCAGGCTTGGCCTCCCATATGCTCCTCCAAATGTATGACGGGTTAGAGCCACACTTTGAATCAATAAAAGAGCTGCGAGGGTAATATCTAGCTTTGAATATCCTTCCCACCAGTGTGGTTGGTTCCCAGCATAGAAATATTAAAGTCCCGTAACCGCCGAAAGCCCATTCCACCCTTGCTTTTAGGCTTGCATAATGCCTACCAGTTAGTCCACCGGATACCTCTATTAGTTCCACCATTCCACCAAAAACCATTCATTAATCTTTCCATTTCTAAACAAAACTCTTTTGGGAAAAGGAAAACATTCATAGCATACTTCAACATTGCTTGTATCACCGTTTTAAGTAATACCTCCCGACCAGCCCTGGACAAAAATCTCACATTCCATTCTTGTAACCTGCTAACCACTTTGTCACGAACAAAAGTCAGGATAGATTTTTTATTGCGGCCAACAAGCGAAGGCAGGCCAACATAATGAGCTCCGTGCTTCGCAGGTCCCACCATAAACAGTTGTGATAACCCTTCCCGTGTCCCTGGTTCCACATTAGAGCTGAAAAATAATGTGGATTTTGCATAGTTAACCGCCTGACCCGATGCCATATTATACTCCTTCAGTGTGTCATGTACAATGGAACCTTCACCATCCGTAGCCCGAAAGAAAAGGAAGCTATCATCGGCCAAGAATAAATGCGACACCCTCGGTGCCCCCTTACAACCGCCACTTCATGGATCAACCCTGCTGATTGGGCGGGGCCAAGGCACTGGGCCGGACTAGGCCGAAATTTTTTACACTAAAAACTTAGACATTTTTAAAATTTGGGCTGGGCCAGAGTTGACCCTCCCCTAGCTCCGCCCGTGCCCTGCTGCCTCATGCTTCCTCGACATACTGCTTAGCCCTTCCGCTACTATAAGAAAGAGATAGGGGATAAAGGATCCCTTGTCTCAGATCACGATGGGGAATGATAGGCCCAATTTCCGTGCCCTCAAACGGAATAGAATAAGTCACCGCCTTCACACATTCCACAAGTAGAGTCACCCATTTAGCATTAAAACTCATCTGCCATAACATGGTTTCCAAGAAGGTCCAGTCCACGCGATCATACGCATTCGACATATCTAGTTTTAGAGCCACATACCCCACTTTGCCGTATACTTTGTTTTTCAAATAGTGATGTGTCCCGAAGGCTATCATACTATTATCAATTATTGAATGATCAGGAACAAAAGCAATTGGGTTTTCAGAGATCAAATCATTCAATAAGAACTTCAATCTATTAGCCAATAGCTTGGAAAATTTTTTGTACACCACATTGCAAAGCGCGATGGGTCTCCAGTCTGCCATAGTCTCCACTTTTTCCTTTTTAGGAATAAGGATAAAATGAGTGTTATTAATCATCGCTAGCAGCTTACCCGACTTAAAAGCTTGCCTACACCAATTAATAATATCTGGTCCCACAATATCCCAGAAGTGTTGGTAAAATCTAACATGACATATAATCAAGCGAAATGTCCAAGGAAATCTTTTACTATTTAAAATTCATCACCTAAACCTTTACCATACTGTAACAAAGATATTATATAGGAAAATTAAAAAATTAATTCCAACTACTACTTCCGGTTTGCTATTAATAATCTCAACTATCTATTATTCCTAGGTGGTCCCAACTATAGGGACTATTTTCAAAAATAGTCCTTAACCAACTACAACCTAATATAACAGGCTAATTTTAAATTCAAAATAAGCCGTAAGCTATAAATAATCCCAATTATAGTCAATCTTTTTTTATTAATCCCAATTATCAACTATCAACTTTCATAATAAGATATAGAACTATTTTTATAATTTTCCAAACTAAATAATTTTAAACATGTAAAAATAATTACCAAAATTTTACAAATGTACCAAAGTAAAATAAATTATTTTTATTCATTGTTTGATTTATTTTCACTAAAATTCTTTTTTCTTTTTTCGAATTTGTTTTTCCCAGTTGTGTTACCAATTTATGATTTTGTATTATATTCCTTTATTCAAATTTACATTTCTGTTTTCAAAAGTAAACTGTGATAAAACATTACGATTTAGAGGTTTATTGCAGCTTTTTTCCTGAAAATAAAGTATACTTAATTTAATTTTTTATGCTATCTTAATTCTAAAAATCTAAATTTTCTATTTTTTCTACTTTTGTATTTATAATTTCTTTTTATTTTCTTTATTTTATATTATTATATTAAATAAATTATACTCCGTATGATATAGTTTATCTTTTATTTTAATGATTTGGGGTATAGTTTGGGAGATTTTGACGAATGAATAGGTATCAATATTATAATTTTAAGTGAAATAATGCAAATGGTAAAAAAATGTTGAAAACGTGTGACGTTTGGTAAACATTTTGGACCACCATATCTCTGGAATTAAGAGGGTGTTTAGAACTGATTCTGCTTCTGCTTCTTTTTTAAAAGTAGAAGCAGATTTAGAATCAGTTTTCAGAAGCTGGTACCTCTCAGCTTCTAAAAAAACTGATTCTGAGAGTAAATTAGAGCTCCAGAAGTGCTTCTGGAATTTCACCCAAACACTCCAGGTTCTGCTTCTGCTTCCTGAAGGAGCAGAATCAATTTTGAGAATCAGATCCAAACACCCCCTAAGTATAAGCATTGGATTCTTTACTTTTCTTCCATTAGATCTCTAAATGCATAATTACCTATAATTTTTCTTTTAAAACTTCAGATTCAAGGTTTTAAATTGTGATTGCGGTAGCGGTCATTACCAGGGGCGGAACCAGTCTAGTGCCCGGAGGTGCTCGTGCCCCTGCAGTGTTTTTCTTTCTTTTTTATAATATATATGTATATACTTCGTATATATTAACATTTAATTAGTTGAGCCCCTGCAGCCCAATTCCAAAAGCCCTTTACCTTAGCCCTTTCCCTTGTGTCGGCCCAATCCCAAAAACTCTTCCTTGGGACAGCCCACAACCCAACTCCCCAAAAGCCAAAACGCCAAGACCCCAAGTCCCAACTCAAGCGGTCAAGCCTCTGCCCCTGCGTATAACGCCAGCAAATCACGGCAGTGAGTCAGCGAGTCGGAACTAGAATAGCGATTAGCGACTGCGTCTCTAGACTCCTGGACGGCTGGGCTCCTAGTAAGCCTTTTTAATGCCTTAAACTAATTGTTTTTATAATAATTTCATTTAAAAAAAATTATTTATTGAATTGTATTTGTTTAATTCAAATAAAATGTTAATTGTTGAATACTTTTATTTCTTGAATTCAAATACAGTGTTGAAGTTTTTGGCAATTGTGTTGTGATAACTGATAATCTCATTAAAATGTTAATTATATTGTAAAGTTATAATTGTGTATTTACTGATTTAGTTAATGTTGTTAATTTGTTATAATGTAATTTTTACAATTATACTCATATTATTTCAATTGTAATTGGCCTAGATTGTTTGACAAAATATTGCTATGTTACGATATTATACACCGGAACCTAAACAGCCAAACATTGGTGGTTCTTCATCGAATAATTTAGTTTCTTCATCAGATAATGTCATTCTTAACAATGAAAATAATGTTAAAAAGGATCGAATAGAAGTTGAATTGTCCGATGATGACATAGTTGGTGATTTGCGCAACAAGATGGGAGAAGAATACTTGACAGATTGCTTGGTGTGTTACATCGAGAAAGATATATTTGTTAAAATTGAGAATGAAGTCAATATGAAGCGATTTCAGAGTATGGCATCTCGAAGACAAAGATTGTCCCCTCTCAATGAATCTCCTTCATTTGACGCGTCAGGTTGTAATCAAAATTAAGGTACTCTTTAAGTAGTTGTTTTTTATTTTTAAATTTTATAGTTTTGTTTATTGCTATATTCGTGATGCACATGATTTTTTTAGTAGTACGTAGTATATGTTTTCTTTGTTATTGTGCCCCTGCGAGTCACGAGTCCTGGTTCCGCCACTGGTCATTACGGTAGCGGTTAATGCGTATTGCGGTCATTGCGCCATGAAATATTCCCGAGTTTGCACCAGATAGAAATACCATGATTATTTTTGTATTCTTTAGCAAATCTTCGATTAAATATATTTAACCTAGATTAGTTTATTTGAACTAATGGATGGTAAATTTAATATAAGCATTATGAATACTTCTTCTTTTTATAATGCATTATGATTACTTCTTTAAACACTTATATGTAAACAACGAATCAATCAATACGAATATCATGATTAAAAGAGAATAATGATTAGAAAGATGGCTAAACTAAATAATTATTAGGAAAAATTGAAAATAATAATCCCAACTATTGTCGGTCCGCCGACAATAATCTCAACTATTGATTATTTTTGTATAATCCCAACTATATGGGCCGTCTGCCAATAATGGTCCATGACCAAATATTACCTCTTACAAAAAGTGATTTTTAAATTGAAATTAAGTGTAAAAATTAAAAGTTGGGATTATTTATAACAATTACTTATTATATCTCTTCTCATCCACTTTAAAAACTACAAGAATTTATTTGTAGGGACTATTATTGGCGAAAGGTCCCTAAAGTTGGGATTATTCTAAAATAATCGATACTTGAGATTATTATGGGCAGACCGCCAATAGTTGGGATTATTACTATCAATTTTTCCTAATTATTATAAACACAATAAAAATTTACTCAAAGTAAACAAGGCTTAATAGATCTTTAAATTACGCAGATACTTACATTAAATGATTATAACAAACACAGTTCAACGTGTACTGACATGATATAAAAAGTTCCAAGTGCTACATTGTCAAGAAAGCAAGCACATCTCTAGTGCGGATTGCGGACTTTCCTTGAAAATAAATATGAAAAGTCAAATGAGTTAATAAATCAACAACAACAAAATAATAATAATAATAATAATAATAATAATAATAATAATAATAATAATAATAATAATAATAATAATAATAATAATAATAATAATAATAATAATAATAATAATAATAATAATAATGTTAAGATCGAAGAAATATAGAAACTTACATGATTCATCCTACACATGGTGAAATGTCGTGGGGATCACAACCTCTAGTTTCACTTTGATTATCACGATTAGAGGATTGTTGATTGAAAACATAATGATAAAACCCATCACTGCTTTGCTAATAAGAATCTTGATACATATGTTGATGATTAATAATATGATCGAAGAAGTTTGATCATTTGCGTATTGACCATAAGAGGTGACATTACGATACTGATCAAAGACACATAATATTGAGTACTACTAGAAGATTCATCGTTACCATTATAACCAAAATTTGGTCAAATACTAGAATAAGATAAATCATCTAATGGAACATTATGATGCCCGTTTCTTGTTCTCATACTTGCCCCGCTTCTACTGGTCCCACACAATGGATTTTCATCGATTTTCATATCAGTCAAACTCCAATAACGCGAGTATGGGAAATCTGACCAAATCTCCTCCATAGTGTTATCATCACCATCATTATTGTGTTCTCCAAATCCTCCACTATCACCATCACCGCCACTATCACCGTTTGGTGTACCATGACCACCACTATTATCATATAACAGCTATAGCGGCTGATGCGGTTGCGCCACCGCAGGAGACAACAATATTGCTACCGCAACAGATGTTGCGGTCTGCTATTTCATACCCTGTACATATTCACTTTTGGCTGCCACAGGCTCGCTGAAGAACGTCAAATAAAAGAGGCACCATGGCCGAAACTGAACTTCTTTGCCGACATCCCGTTTCAGTTAGATGGGAAGACAGATAAGGAGACACTTCTTCATCTCCATCTCTTCAATTCGATAGAAGAAGACAAGGAGACTTCTTCATCGCCATCCCTTCTGTACAATCAAGAACTAGCGGAGCATCCCAACAATGACATCCAAGCAGCGAAGCAAATGAGCGGCGGCGGGCGGAATATTGGAACAATGATGACAATGAATAGGAGGAGCATCATTGGAGAACCTCAAACTTGAACAAGGGGGCGAACCACAGGACAGTCCGGCGGTGATATCCACACCACGTAGAAAACGAGGGGTTGCGGCTGAGCTTGGAACAACGATGACGATGAACGTTTGCTATTGTGCGAAAAAGGGGAATAGAGTTCATGAAGAAGTAAGTGAAAGTGAGAGCTTGTTGATCGATCTTTCTTTCGACTCCCTTAGAGACTATTTCCTTAGAATTTATTCAAAGTGGCACCATCTT